AAATGGTGAATTTATTGAAAGAGGATAGGACAGTGTACTCCCAGGACTCGATTTCAGTGACAGAGGCAAATAGCAGACCCAGGACTTCATCTTGCTCCTCAAGGTGAACTTTAGCTAATTGTAGTGGATTCTAATATTACTAGCATTACAGTGAAGGAAAATCTCCATCCCATGGTGCCATGACGTTCTGACAAGAGCCAAATAGGAAAAAAAAATCCCTCCTCCCAACAGGAAGGAGTGGTCTGCAAAGACCCATCTAGGAACGCCTGTAACGCCTGTCTTGAATATTTCATGCCCTCATTTCGAAAATAATAAATTCCCAAGCCCCAACCCTAGTTTCATTCTTTTGCATGTGGCTTGCCAGTTTTCCCAGAACCATTTATTGAAGAGGCTTTCTTTTCTTCATTGTATGTTTTTGACTCCTTTGTCAAAAAATATCTGCCCATATATATGTGGGTTTATTTCTGGGTTTTCAAAGATGTTGTACTTGCATACTGAGCTGTAAGAAAAGATGAAATACTACCATTTGCAACAACATGCATGGATCTCGAGATTATCATGCTAAGCGAGATGAGTCAGAGAGAAAAAGTCAAGAACCATATGACTTCACTCATATGTGGGATATAAAACTGAAAGCAACAAAGGAACAAGAAAAGCAAACAAAAACTCATAGACACAACAGTTTAGTGGTTACCAGAGGGTAAGGGGGGAGGGAGATGGTTGAAGAGGAAAAAGGGGGTCAAATAAATGGTGATGGAAGGAGACTGACTATAGGTGGTGAACACACAATGCAGTATATAGATGATGAATTATAGAAATGTACACTTGAGACCTATATAATTTTACTAACATGTCCCCACAATAAATTTAATAAAGATAAAAAAAGTAATTTGTAAACATCATGACACTTTGCCCTTACTTAGTTTAGCATGTTTCTCCTAAGAGCCAGTACATAATCCTACATAACCGTAATACCATGGTCATACCCAAGAAATTTAATATTGATACAGTAGAAACAATATTTCTCCAGTTACTCCCAAAATGTCTTTTAACCTATTTATTTTTCTTATTCTTGATGCAGCATCCAAACAAGTATTATATATTACATTTGATTTTCATGTCTGTTTAGTCTTCTAACAGTTTTTTTGCCCTTTTTTCCTGTCTTTCATGAAATTTTTTAAAGAATTCAAGTCACCAATAGTCTTGAGCAATGTCTTATCATTTGGATTTATCTAATTGTTTCCCCATGATAAGATTCAGGTTAAACAGTTTGGTAAGAACACTATATAGGTGGTGGTGTTCCTTCCCATTGCACTATATCAGGGAACACAATATCGGTTTGTCTTATTACTAGTTGGTCATTTAGGTAAAAGTTGGTTAAACAGGCGTCTATCCATCTTGCAAAATATACTTCAGTCTCATATATCATTTCAAAATATAGGACTATTACATTTTTTCACAATCTGAAGTATTTGTGTTGTCTATAGATTACTAGTAAAGTTTGTTCTTTCTCTTAGTCAAATTAGCTACACTAAGGCTAGAATCTGTATGAACATAGAAGAATTGCACAGAACTAAAATTTGGTGGGTCTGATTTTCTATGACTATAGATCTTTGAATACTAGTGAATTTGTGAAAGAGTTGTTTCTGTCATAGTTGAGTCTTAGACATTTACCTATAGCAGATCTTACCAGTTAAATCCATTCTGCTTTCATCCTAAGAGAATTCAGTGGTCTGCCTAAAACTAAAACTTCTATAAATTATATCTATATATAATTATATAAAGGTAATAGAAAAAACCCCAACATTTTAAAATAAATGTCCTCTAAACTTGTTTCTTCTTTTGACATATATGTAATTCAGGCCTAAATGCTAATTTGCCTGCCTAGTTTAGACATAACTGTAATAGTGACATATTTATATTCCAGGTTTGGGTTGGCACCATTGGGTCTGGCCCCAAGGGTCAGAATCTCTGCGCTACCTTCAAGCACACAGAAACATTTGCGTTTCAGGATGAAGTGGGAGCACTTTTATTATCTGTATGCCAGACTGTGAGCCAAGGAATTTTGTGCTTCTTGCCATCTTACAAGGTAAGGGAATATTTATTTATTTATTTTTTTTAAAGATTTTTATTGGGGAATTGGGGGGATGGGAACAGTGCTGGGGAATTGGGGAAGGGGAACAGACAGGTTGCTGTCCTTTTGTTCTTCAGTCTGGTTGTGGAGGACGTTGCTTCACTGGCCCAAGTTGGCACCATCATTGCGCTCTTCCCGGGTGAGGCAGATCAGTCGCCAGCTTCTGGACAGCCGCTCACTGCGGCTGCTGGCCGCTCACGCTGGCTGTGGCTACACACGGTAGCCCATGGCAACCCACTGCCACAGGGGCTGCAGCCTACGCCGTCGCTGGCGACTCATGGCAGCCCAGCTCCAGGTTGAGCTGTTCAGCATCTTAGCTGTGGAGGGCAGTGTCACCTGCCCTTATATGTGGGATCCGAACCAGGGCCCTCTGGCGTCCCAAGCCAGTTCTTAACCATTGTACCACTCAGCCAGCCCTATTATTTCTTTTGCCTATAAAAAATCATGTGGAATTATCATGATAAGCTTCCTAGGGTCAAAGCAACAGGGGAATTATAGGTTTCTAAACATCATATATGGTTTTAATTATATTTTAAGACACTGCCTAATTATTCTATAACTGTTTTATTTGAAAGTCTAAGACTAACTACACACACACACACACACACACACACACACACACACACACACACACACAACACATACACACACAACACATACAACCAAAGTTTGTTATCCATTCATCCGTTGATGGTCACTTGGGTTATTTACACCTTTTGGCTATTGTGGATAACGCTGCTGCGAACATTGGTATACAGTTATCTGCTTGAGCCGCTGCTTTCAATTCATTTGTATATATACCTAGAAATGAAATTTCTGGGTCATATGGTAATTCTGTATAACTTTTTGAGGAACTGAAATACTGTTTTCCACAGTGACGGTACAATTTTACATTCTCCCTATCAACGCACAAAGGTTTTTATTTTCTCCACATCCTTGCCAATATTTTTTATTTTGTGTTTTGGGTAATAGCCATCCTAATGGATATGAAGTGGTACCTCCTTGTGGTTTTGATTTGCATCCTTCTAATTGCTAGTGATGTTTCATATGCTAATTGGCTATTTGTATATCTTCTTTGGAGAAGTGTCTATTCATGTCCTTCATATTTGAATAGTTTTTTTTGTTATTGTTTAATTATAGGAGTTCTTTATATATTTTCAATGTTAATCCCTTATAATATGTATGCTTTATAAGTATTACCTCCCATCATATGAGCTGCTTTTTCACTCTGTTGATAGTGTCCTTTGATGCACAAAAGTTAAATCTTAATGAAGTTCAATTTTCTATTTTTTTTTTGTTATATGTGCTTTGGTGTCATAAGCAAGAAATCATTGCCATGAAGATTTCCCCCAATGTTTTTTCTAAGGGTTTACTAGTTTAGTGGTTGCATTTAGACATTTAATCCATTTCGAGATAATTTTTATATATGGTGTAAGGTATGGGCCCACTCCATTTTTTTCTGTGTGGATATCCAATTACATTTTAAAATAATGCCTGTTAAAATAGCATTAAAATCATGAAATTTATGTGCATGATATGCATGAGCCAAGCACTAAAAAGTACAAAACATTGCTGAGGGAAATTAAAGCCTATATATAAAATGTACATAAATGTAGAGATGTCGCATTCATGAGTTGGAAGTCTCAGTATTAAGGTGTCTATTCTCTTGAAATTGATCTATATATTCAAGCCAATCTTAGTAAAAATTCCAATAGGTTATATTTTTTTTGGAAATTGCCATGATTCTATAATTCATACAAAAATGTAAATAATATAGATTTCTTTAAAAAAATTAGAAAAATAAGTAAAGACAAAGTTGAAAGTCTTAAATATCTGGTTTCAAGATTTACTATAAAGCTACAGGAATCAAGACAATTAGGTATGGTATAAGGATAGACATGTAGCAGTGGAACAAAATAAGGTCCAGAAAAAGATCCGTGTGTGTGTGTGTGTGTGTGTGTGTGTGTGTGTAAATTAGCTTTTGACAAAGATACCCAGGTAATTTAATAGAGAAGAAATGGAACACTTCTGTAGCCATATGGGATAAAATGAATACTGATACTTCATAACCTTATACAAAAATTAACTTGCAACACAAAACATTGATACCTTATAACCTTACACAAAAAAAAATCACTCAAAATTAATCATGTATTTAAACATAAAAGCTAAAACTTAAAAACTAAAATCACCTCTTCGATAACCTTGTTTCCAAATATAGTTAGTCACATTCTGAGGTACTGGAGGTTAGGGCTTCAACATTGTCTATTTTGGGGGAGAACAGCTCAGCCCATAACAAAACACAAAGGAACTTTTTGTAAATGTAAATGCTTCATATTTTGATATGGTGGGAGTTTCTTGGGTACATGATTTGTGAAAACTCATTGAGCTGTTCACTTAAAATGGATATGTTTTGTTATATCACAATAAAGTTGCTTTTTTAAATAGCAAATTGTTAGCCAAGATAAAACAGAAGAATTATAAATTCTCATTGCAAATCTGATTAAAATTTCATTAAAATGTGTTTATTTGGAAAGGATAATATCAGATCTTCCCACACAGAAATGTGTCTATATTATGCAGTGTTTTTGTATCCTTCAGTAAAATTAGGTGGTTAAACCAACAATAAAACAGTGCCCTTATCACTTTTCCCTAAGTGCATAAACAAATACATTATGTCTTTCATTAGGTCAGCTAGTATTCTAATTAAATAGCTGAAAAAATTAGCTTTTCGATATGAAAATCTGTATGTTCGAATATAGTTTAAATTCAGTGTAAAATGAATGCTTAGAATTGTTTATACAAGTTTAAAAATGAGTTTTTAGGTAATCAATGTTATGTTATAGTTTACATTCCCAACAAGTTACTACTTCACCTTCATGAAGTCTGGAATGTTTAATAATGTAGGTACAAAAGGTAGGCAAGAGTTCAGCTAAAGCAAATAAATTATCATCCAGAAAAAAAATAAGGGAAAGATGTTTAAAGATTTCAAAATGGCAAACAAAATAATGAAATTCTGGTTTTAAGTTATGAATAATATGTCTATATTGATGACAACTTGAAGATCAAAATGCTATTAACATCTAATATTAGATATCATTCCATAATTACGATGTAACAGGCACAATTGATAAAGTATTATTGTGTTATAAACATATAATTCATAATTCTAAGACATATCTAATTATAATAACATTGTAAACAGCTTCCATAGAAAGATCAGCAGTTATGATGATGAATCAACTAAAGTTTATAGGCATTAGCACTTTTCATTGGATACTTTGTCTTTGATAAGACACGGCACCAGGCCTTTCTACATCTTAATGTAGACAGATTGGCAACATAAACACTAATGGTTTTTATCTTAATCTTGTTTAAAAGCTTCTTATATTTCTAAGTAATTTTTACTTTCTGATATTCTGTGATACTCTGTGAGTATCAATTCTGATACTCATTTATTTATTTATTTTTTTGCTAGCACTGCTATTGATTTTTACCATAAATAATGCTTTTTAGTGTATATTCACCCTGTCTTCTAATAATAAAAAAATCTTACAAATGGCAGTTGTAATGTTGCTTCATAGTAAAAGTATATTTTCTAAATAAAAGAAAATTTAAATAAAATTAAGAACATTGGTTTTATTATAATAAACATTGCATACTTAAATGTTACTTTGGGAGTTTTCACATCATGTAATTACACTCTATGGGTTTGTATAGATTCACAATATATGGGTTATTGGTTTTTGTTTTTGTTTTTTTCATATGTAGGTGATTACCATACTAAAGTTCATTTGTCATGAGGCATTAAAATTAAAGACATGGTGGGAAGCTTGGAAAATTTGGCGTGATACTGCGAGCAGTTACATCTTCACAATAAAAAAATGCTTAAAACAATGGCAATGCCTCTAAAAAAATCAATATTCTAGCACAGAGGAAAATAATTTTCTTTTTTAATTCATAATTTTAAACTAGTTTCTCTATCTAATTACTCATTTTGATTCTTGTTATATTTTTTCAAAATTTTGAAGTTTTGAACATTTGGGAAGCCCTCTGATTATTTTTCTCTTCTTAAAAAATTTTTTTTCTTAATCTTAAATTTGTCTTCTTCCTTTCTGTTCTTATAGAGAAACTATGTTTTGAGATATAGTTCACATATCACATAATTCACCCTTTTAAAGTATAGAATTCAGTAGTTTTTAGTATGTTTACAAAGTTGTACAACCATCATCATTGTCTAATTCCAGAACATTTTCTTCACCCCCCCAAAAAAACCCTTAGTAGTAGTCACTTCCCACCCCCTACCTCCCCTTAACTCCTGATAACTACAAATCTACTGGACTTTTCATATAAATGGAATCATACAGTATATGGCCTTTTGTGTGACTTCTTTATGTAGCACAATGTTTTTAAGGTTCATCTGTGTTGTAGGATGAATCAATACATTCTTTTTTATAATAATGTTCATATCTTTGAATTTAAAGTTTGTCTTTTGTAGACAGCATATAGTTGGGTCATTTTTTTTTATCTATTCTTTTAATCTCTGCCTTTTAACTTGAATATTTACATTAATGCAATTATTGACAAGGTAGTTTTTACATCTGCTACTTTGCTATTTGTTTTGTGTATGTCACCTTCTCCCCACTCTATTCCTCTATTGCTACCTTTTTGTGTGTGTGTTAAATAGATTTTTTTTCTAGTGTGCCGTTTTAATTTCCTTGAGTTTCTTTTACTATATATTTTTTAGTTATTAATGGTTGTCCTGGGAATTACAATAAACATCTTAATTTATAACAGTGTAGTTTTGATTGATACTAATTTAATTTCAATAGTATGTAAAAACTTTGATCCTATATAGTTGTATTATGTTCCACTTTCCTTGTGCTGTTATCATAATAAAAAGTATATATTTATACAATTGTATGTTTATCAATACAGATTTATAATTATTGCTT